GATAGAAAGACTAACACAGATGGTGAGAAGATTTCATGGTTGAAAATACAGAGCATGGAATGGAGGCTTAGAAAACGGTTGATTTCCAAAAGAAAGGAAGAGGGCACCCAGTAGATCTTAAACGGGTTCAGTTACCATCTCTTTATGAAGCTGCTCATGAAACCTCAAAGACAAAGTTTGATGATTTGGTGCAGCTCCTGTCTTAGGTCCCTCCAGTTCATCATAGATTTTACCATTTGCTTACGCCCAAAGACATTCAAGCTATCACCAGTGGTAATGAAACAATTGGCGAGGAAAGTGAAGATAGTGTACGTTAAGTTACTTTATAATAATTTCTGTTCACTAAGTATAAACAGCGGTATGAATCAGAGTTCTGATTACAAGGCTGGACCCTGTGATTGACCACCACCTACCTTAGCATTCAGAGCCATCTATTTTGCATTCTAGTTTCTCTGCTCTTCTTAGTTTGTGCTCATGTCACAACCATCGACTTAAGTTGGGGTAGATGCCTACTTGAAATCCTTCTGAGAACACTGATGAATCTCAGACAACCACATTGAGGGGTTGATTAAATTTATTTTTATTAATGTGTCTGCAGCATCAAACTTCACTATTTCGAGGAGGATATTATAATGGTCAGTGCTTGTTACTTAAATCTTCGCAAAAAATTATTCTGTCCTTAAACTTACAGACTGTCTGATGGGTCCTTTCATCTTCCATTCATTTACTTTTTATTCCCTTTTCAGGACTTAACACCCACCTGTTCTCTCGATAGCTTACCTGATGAGGTCATTCTGCAGATTTTGTCCAATGTAAAACTCCATCAAGTTCTGTGCACCGTGGCACAAGTCAGCAAACGTTTCTACAGGTTAAGCCACAATTCTTCGTTGTGGAGGATTTTTGAACATAACATGTGGTTTACAAAAAGGTCTTTTGAAAACCCCAATATTCAACATGCAGTTCCGGGAATTTATAATACACAACTGTTTGAGAGATTTGAGAGGAGAGGCCAGTCTGGAATATATTGCAAATGGTATTGGGCAGTGTATTCACTTGAGGAAGTTAGACAACAGCTTCTTGAAATGCCTCAGGTATGTTTCATTTATTAAAGACATGTTGCCCTTGGAAGAGTTACATATGGATCAATGTCAAAACATCAGTCCTGACAGTGCACTACAAGGTCTTCAGGGCCACCCAAACCTGGCAAAATTCTCAATGAACTTGTGCTTTCAGTTTAAAACATGTCAGTTGCAGCAGTTGTGTGCCAGTACAAAAATGTTTCTCAGCAGAGAGATGTTCTCAAATCTCAGCTGCGACTGGCAGAAAGATGCTTGAACAAAGCAGCGATTTAAGAGCGCTTGTTTGTAAAAATCAGACAAATTCTATGTTTCGTGGCAAGGGTGAAAAATTCGATTTCTTTCTTATTTTAATGTTAGATAGGCTAGACTATAACTAAAATCACTGGATCCTTTTTTGGCAAAATATCTTTTTATTTCAGAAAAAATACAAATAAAACTCCGTTAAAATCGTCATTTTTAGCAGCAAATTATTGCACGCGTTTGGGGGCTTCGCGTTCAAAAACGAATTTCTTCGTTGTAAAGCGTTTGACATCTTTCTGCTCTGTGGCATCTTATCCAGCGGTTCAGTTGACTGTGAGTGTTGTTCAGTTTGTGGTGCAGTAGATCTGATCGTTGCTTTTAAAAGTGACACTACACATATGTAGCAGTCAACGTAGAGTTGTATACGGAGTCGTCACGCAATGCAAATCATACAATGGAAAATTGTTTTTTAGGAGGTAAGGGAAGGGGAAAGTAAAAAAAGACGTCACTTCTGCTCAGCTTTTTTGTTGTTGTGAAAATCGAAATCTCTTACATGCAAGTCGAGGAGATCGGGCCTTTGGCTAATACTCGTTAAAAAGCTAAATTTAGTACCTGCTAAAAATAGAAAGCCTACGTAAACAAAACCTGGTTTATGGTAATTACACGATGCCTATTGTTTGCTTAGAGGCGGAACTTCGGACTTTGTTTTTCACAAATATACTAACTTACATGGTCAACTTTGTTACATAAAAAATGTAACGTTGTTGTTCGTCCAAGTTGCTTTCTTCGTTCTTTGTTGGCGGAATTTGTGGTTACAACACAAGAGATCGAAAGCGTGAAACGGAAATTCTTCCTTTACTTTCGTACACCAAGAATATCGCAAGTCATAAGTCGACTTTCAAATTTACTGGTCCTGAAGATGAGATCGACCTTATTTTGTGCCAGCCATCAATGTTTACTAAAAATGAATGCTTGAGTATAATGAAAATATATCCCAACCATCGTGCAAAACTAGGATTGGGGTGGACCAGAGGATCCAGCACAAGGTGCAGGGTTCCGGAAAGAACTTCCAACCATGGCAAAGGGAAAGGAGTGCGGCCAAAAGGTGAAAGAGGATTGGGTAAAAGGGAATCTGAGGTGATCTTACGCAAGACTGGTTCATTTGTACAAGTTGGATCGGGTAAGTTTTATTTTCTGTTTTCTATTATGGTCTATCCAGATGTTGAATTTGGACAGCTAACGGATGGCCACCTAACTGTGTTTCTTCATCATTCAGGTGTATGTAGAACGTGTAGAGAGAGACTGAAGGAGATGATAGATACTGAAGTGCGAGAAAGAATGACGTTGGTGAGTATTACTCACAATGTGACTAAGTCATGCTAGTCATCTCGACTTTCAAAGTTAAAATTGCTTCTCGTTAATTGCTTGATTGATCAGCTGTTGTTTTGATTGTATGTAGAGCAATGGGAAGTAACGTGACGTACGTGCGTCATCCGCAAGAGATATGACTGTTCGGCATCCGTTTGTTTGTTTTCTTGTTAGATGTCACACATTCGTAATATCATCTTTAGTAATCCATCCCTAGTGGGAGATGACTAAATATAATTATATTCATCGCATAGAGCATTCTGAACGAGTACAGGTCTGGGTACAAGACTGTTAAGATCAATATGAAAGTCCAACCTTCGAAAATCTGCTGATAGTTATTATTTTTATACAGAACCTCATAAGCAAAATAAGCTACTACTAAGTCCATGTTGTTTTTTTTATTGGTTGCGCTTGCGTAATGCAAGCTAAGGTGCTTGCGCTAGGTTGAGAACACAGTTTTAATCTTTGTAGTTTTAGTGCATGGTGCTCATTGGGAAGGTAAAAAAAATTAGCTTTACTTTCTAAGGATGATGAGGTAACTTTCAACCTTAAGCAAGTAACTGGAATATCCCAAACACAATAAAGTGTAATAACACATGCTGAAACATCACTAAGTATCTACCAGCCCTCTGAAGGTTTTACAACTCCATCTGGAGAGAACAATGAAACATGCAGTAGCAGTAGAGAAAAAATCAATTCGTTTTTGACTTCCAGGGACATAAGTCCCATCCGTTATTAAATGATTACGCCTTGGGATGAGGCTGCAGAACGAACAAAACGATTTCACACACGTAAAGCAAGGCAGGTTGTAAATGCAGCGTTGGAAGAAATAGCACCACAGAGTGCAGAGATATTGCTGGATTCTGTACAATCATGTAAAGAAGACAAATGCGACATTGATTCTACGCTGATGGGTGTACTTGTCGAGTGCTATGAAAATGCTTTACAGCGCTTTAAAGAAGTCAAAAGATGGATCCCTAATCAGTCCAGATATAGATACAACATTGTGCAGCACCATGTGTTACTCCATGGCAGAGGCTCAACTGTTCCTTCAAGTAACAACACAAGAATGAAAGTCTCACCACTGAAGCTTGACCACTTCTTAACATTTTTTACCAGTGCGTAATATGTATGTAATGCACGATTTGCCATTCGGCGAGAAAAGCTTGAGGTTGTCCTCAAACACCAAGATAAAGATCCCAAACATCGTGAGGACCATGATCCCAGAGCAGATTGTCCAACAGTACCAGAGTTACTGTCATGAGACTGGGTTTGTTCCAATGAGCCACAGTACACTGTGTAGGATTCTTAAAGTTTGTTCGGCCTCTGTGCGCAAGTCTTTGCGAGGACTTGATTACGTGTCAGCAGAGGGAGCAAAGGCTGGGGACAACCATGGCAAAGGGCTCTCCTGGGCAAAAGACCAAAATGAGAAACTGAAGCTGGCAAAACGCTATTTAAAGGTCACTTTAAGATAAGTGTACGTAAGTTTAAAGCAGAATAAAAGTTCTTTTGTTAGCTTGTTATTAGATTTCGATGAAATCAGATAAAACTGAATCGGAAAAATGACTTATTGTGCTGTGATGTATCAAAACCGAAGTTACCTTGAAAAGAAACAACAAAGGTTCAGATTTTTTACGACAGATCTGCAAAGAACTGTAACAACGAACGATCTCTCAATGATTGTTTAGAAGTGGGAGAAAACTACATCCCTCACATGTTCAAAATGCTAACAAATTTTTGCTGGAATTTCATCGTTCTAACTGCAGATATTGAGAAGGTGTTCCTAATGGTAGGAATCAAGATGGAGGACAGGGACATGTTACACTTCCTTTGGTTGAAAGATCCTTTTCCTGACAAGCTGGAAATAGTTGAATATAGATTTAATCGCCTTGTTTTCAGTGTTAGGCCATCTCCTTTCATTCTACGTAAAACCATTACACATCACCTGAACCTCTACAAGCAAGTTGAACCCGAGATGTTTGAGTTGTTGAACAAGTCTCTGTACATGGATGATCTTCTTACTGGAGGAGATAATGACGAGAAAGTATTAGTTGTTGAAATTAGTTGAAAGCAGTGTTAACGTCATATAATAGGGACCTTAAGTACAGTTGACAAAAAGGATGACGACGACGAATATGTCTGCGCGAAGTCTGGGTTGAGACGCTGTTCACTGGTAAAAAAACTGGCGGGAAAATGTAAACTTAAGCTACTCTCGACGTGAACGTGAACGTAAATAAATGAAAAAAAAATTGTTTCAAAGCTCCAGTTTTACCATTATGGTTTCTTTTCACAAACTTAAGAAGCTTTTTCTCCTTAGCCACTTCCATGGATATTTAAATGATGAAGAACTGTTGCTGTTATATGTTATACTGTTATGTTATGCGAAGAATATGGTCCGAAAAATCCAGATTTTCCTTACAAGAATTACATGAAGACATGACTCGAAGACATGACCTTCCACTACTTGCAGAGGTCCTCCAGATTCCAGATAGCTTTACATGCTACCAAAGATCCGTTGCGAGTGGAATGGAAGCCCTAGCATGATCAGCAATCAAGTATTTCATTATGTATATGATTCACTTAAAAATTGGCCTTGGCAGTGTAAGCAAAATGTATGTTTTCGCTGCCCTTACGCATGCCCATGACACTCAATTGTTCAAGAAAATATCTACTAGGTTGAACTTGCCATAAATGCTGATCTGAAAAAGGTTTCAGGTTTTAGGCAAATTTCTAGAGGATATTATGATGGAAAACGATTTAGTGGATATTTGGAGAATTCGCAACCCGGATAATAAAAATTTTACTTGGAGGCAGAAAAACCCAATTATTCAAAGACGTCCTGGATCTTGACTGGAGGATCTTGTCTTTGTTCAAAGCTTGCGTAAAAACTTTTCAAATTGGCTTCAAGAAATTAATTTTTGTGATGACACAAGAGTTAAATGGGATTGGATGAAATACAAATTCGCCAAGAAAGTATCTTGTACAGCAAATCAAAAGCAAAAGAAAGGCGAAAGAAACTCCAGACCATTGAAAATAAGCTTAAAATATGCGAAAAGGATTTAGCAGAATCAGCAACACAGGAAAACGTCGCTAAGCTTGAAGCGCTTAAGGCTGAATACGAAAGGGAATACGACTATATTGTAAGAGGCTCGATCACTCGTTCCCGGGCAACATGGTTTGAACAAGGAGAAAGGAACAGCAAGTATTTTCTCAACTTAGAAAATTATAACAAAACAAAGAGCTGTATTAGAAAACTTCTTCAAGAAAATGGAAAAGAGTGCACAAACCCCAACACCATTTTAAATGAAATTCACTCTTACTACTCGGAACTTTACGACGAAAAATCGGAAATAGAAATAAACGAATCAACCTGTCCCTTTGTGGGGAGTCGTTCTTCAATTCCAACATTAAATGATGATCAGTGCGACCTATGCGAGAGACAGCTGAAATATTCAGAATGCTATAAAGTTCTATCTACATTTGAAAATAATAAAACTCCTGGAAACGACGGGCTTACAATAGAATTTTACAAATTCTTTTGGCCAGAAATTGGAATGCTTCTTGTAGACACATTAAACTATACTTACTTTCATGGGGAATTATCGAATACACAAAAGCAAGCCGTAATAACATCAATAGAGAAAAAGGGTAAGGACAGGAGATTGATAAAAAATTGGAGACCAATATCCCTCCTAAACGTAGACGTAAAAATTGGGTCAGAAGCCATTGCAAAGAGACTTGAAAAAGTATTGCCGGATGTTATTCATTACGATCAAAATGCCTTCGTTAAGGGCCGGACTATATTTGACACAACTCGAACAATAAGTGATGTAATGGATTTTACGAAAGCAAAAGACTACAAAGGTATTATCACTGCTATAGATTTTAAGAAAGCCTTTGACTCCGTAAATTGGAATTTTCTATCAAAATCACCGGAATCGTTTGGTTTTGGAGCGTCTTTCAGGGCATGGATTAAAACGTTCTACAGTAACATATCAAGCTCTGTGACAAATGATGGTTTTTCAACTCCCTCTTTTAACCTCAAAAGGGGTGTCCGCCAAGGCGATCCACTATCGCCATCCCTCTTTATCATAGTGCTTGAACTGCTTGCTATCTCTGTGCGAAATAACAATCAAATAAGAGGTATTAACGTAGATGGAAATGAACTGAAATTAGTTATATTTGCAGATGATATGACATCATTTGTCCGTGACAAGCAGTCACACCTCGCCCTATTCAATACCATTAACCTTTTTAGCACATACTCAGGCTTGTGTATAAATCACGACAAAACGGAAATTCTTTTGCTTGGTAATATGGAATTAAAAGCCTCGGAACTAGGTGTAAAGGAGATAAATAAGGTGGTTAAGATCCTGGGGGTCCACTTCACCCATAATCCATCTTTGTTTTACAAAATGAATTTTGAAACTATCGAGAAATCCCTGAGAGAATCTGTGAAAGGCTGGAGTTGGAGAGGTCTTACTTTGTTAGGAAGAATACAAGTAATCAAGTCATTCGCTATACCAAAAATTTTGTATCGAGCATCTCTTATTTCAACCAAGAAATACTTCATTAAAAAAAAATCAATAATCTACTTTATTCATTCGTTTGGAAGGGCAAGGACAAAGTTAAGCGAAATGCACTGATAAACTTCCTCGAAAAGGGGGGTTAAAAATGCCCGACATCGAGTCCATGATTAAAACTCAAAGAGTACTCTGTATTAAAAAATTTCTAGAAACCAGCTCAGCTGGGTGGAAATTTTTCTTGGAGTCTTACCTCAAAAAGGTAGGAGGTAAATTTTTGTTCCAATGTCACTTTGATTTTACAAAGTTACCAATAGCTCTTCCAGACTTCTACAAAGAATGCATTTCAACTTGGTCTTCTTTGAACGAGGACAACCCTTCCTCGCTTTCAGATATAGTAAATCAGGTGTTATGGAACAACAGGTTTATATGCATTGATTCCAGATCAGTTTATAGTAAAAAGCTTTTTGACGCAGGATTAATAAAAATTGGCAACCTCTATGATGAAAATGGCGAGCTTAAATTGGATAAGGAGCCATGGCGTTCATCTCTCTCACAGGTCGATCGCTTCCTAATTTTCCGTCTCCTCAATGCCTTCCCACAAGAGTGGCGTAGAGAATTTAAACTAAATAGGACTTCTATCTACAGAAACACACAATACCAAAATCTAAGTAGCATACCAAACTAAGGGAGTTTCAATATAAAATACTAAATAGAATCTTATACACAAATGTTATGTTGTTTAAATTTAAGAAAGTAGACTCCCCATTGTGTTATTTTTGCGAAAAGGAGTTAGAGACTTTAGAACATTTGTTATTTTATTGTCCAAGAGTGCATGCTTTCTGGGATGAAGTCACTGTCATGTTTAACTCACAGGGCATTACTTTGAAATCTCCTGATATTAAAGATATTGTTTTTGGTTTTTTTGACACGCCTAATCATGACAATGACGGAATCCTTCTTAATTATATTGTACTAGAAGGTAAATATTTTATTCATCGCACCCAGCTAAATAAGACTTCTCTATCCTTTAAATCCTTTTTCGAAAGAATTAAGAGTACGTTTCAAATAGTACGTTTCATAGCCAGAAAGAATAATAAACTTGAGATCCATTACAACAAATGGAAACCCCTCCTTCAACTGATAGAACAATAGCTGAACTAATTTATTATTTATATCAATATGCGATGCCTCTTTTTTTTTGTTTTTGTTCTTTCTTTTTTTTTCTTTTCTTTTCTTTTATTCTCGTAGTCCAGTGTAGTGGTATTTTCTTTGTGTAATAGAGTAGTGAAATGTAACTTTATGCATGTAGAAATTTGTGATGTATCTTGCGTACTTGTAAAAACTGTAAAAACCCAAAAACAAATAAAACAGAAAAAAAAAATGATGACTTAACTTGGTTTTTGATGTAAAACAGTTCCTCCTGTTGTTTGGTATAAATACCTTGCACTTTCCCTGATTTGTAAAAGTTATATCCCTTTACGATTGGTTTTTCCACTGATAGCTGTTTTTTCAACTCCACATCGTCAATCAAAAATTTCTAAATTTGAGGATAGCCGACATGCAGCTTCGAATTGATGCCTACAACAAAGCCCTTGGTTGGAAAATCAACAAGAGTTGCTGTCTCTTGCTCCTCTTGTAAACCAAGTTCTCTGCGCTTATTTTCAAGATTTATGCCACTATCAGGATCAATGAGGTTTTTCGAATCTAAATCAGAGTGTATGTAATCATTTACCCTGAAAAAGAAAGAGAATTTCTCACTCAAATTCACTAGATTTTTGCTTGGTTGTTCGATAATAAAACTGACCTTTTGATCAATTCATTCCTTTTACCCGATACTTTAGCTCCTCTGAAGCTCTGCGCCGGGAATATCTTGTTCTGTAAGTATTATTGTCGTCATAGTTAGTAGAGGGGGGACTACAATGGGAATTACATTTTGTGGCAGCATATATCGCAACTGTTCTACCAGGACATTGACAATGGGTTGAAACTTGTACCAAAGCTCACATATGACCACATCCGTCTCACTTCCTATTCAGTCATGCGGGTACACCTTGCTGCACAAGTGCTCAGTGCATCAGTGGCTGCAGTGCTGAAGAAATTTGGGCCTCCTGAGGCAGTGGAAACTGCTAAACACTGTGAAAAAATGCACGCCTTTTTTGATTGTCTCAACGTGCGCAGCACTACGGAGCATCAAAGGAAGCGTAAGCCATTCCTTGCACCATACAGATCTGGTAATGACGAGAGGTATGTCTGATGTCATATCTAATGATATTGTACCCTGCCATACATTTTTTCATTGTATCATTTCGGAGACTTAATAAAAGTATTGCACTTATCCCCCTTCGGATGAGCATTTATTAATTCACATTAGCTACATGGTGTACACGTATTACTATTACAACAAAATAATGTGAGGAGAAAATATGATTTGGTCACTTTTAAAACTTGCATTAGCATAGAGTGTTAAAGTGAGAGAAAAAATGCCACAGAGGGCTATAGGCATAAGTCAGACTTTTTAAACAGATTTCAACAGAAGCAGTTTACTCACCCTTTAGATTATTCCTAAAATTAATACTATTACAGTGAGGACACTAACCATGAACATTTGACTTTTTTTGCACATATTTCTTGTTAAATTATCCAATGAGCCTCTTCATTCAGACAAATGTATGGATGTTTTTAGTGGTTAAGAAACAATTATCCTTGTGGTAGATTTAAGGTGTGCTGATTGGATAATCATAAAAAGTGTAATCTGTTATTGTTAAACGATTTGGCTTAGTCTGCTTCTAGTGTTAAAAAATAATGAAAATAAACTGGTGTAGCAAGCAGTTTTGGTTCATAATTGACTTAACAAGCCTACTAAGTAAATATTTGTGACAGGGAAAATTGCTTGTCATACCCAGTTGCGAAAGGCGTAAATTTGCCCCTTTTTAGCGGGAGCGTCCTTTAGTAAAACTTGTAAGAAACTTTCATCACTATTCTTTTTTTAATGCTAGGTTCCAGTTCCTCATCAACTTCCTGGAGTATCTAAGGCTGTGGAAAGAAAGTACCGAGACCAGACCAGGGAACTTCACCCGGAATGCAAGAAACCGTATGTTCCTGTCCTGGCAGACACACGAGGGCATCAAGATGACGGCTCATTCAGCTATTGAGGCCACCAAGTTTCTTCTCCAGGAAGGTACAGAGTTCGTGCTCACTGAAAGGTTTTGTCAAGACCCACTGGAAGAATACTTTGGCAATCAGCGTAAACTCAGGAGGCGTAGTGACAATCCTGACATCCATGCATTTGGGTACAATGCCAACACCCTCAGAATTCAGAGAACAGTCTCCTGTCAAAGTGGAAACACCCGAGGCCGGAAAGACAAACGCAGAGCATGGGAACAAATCACTGATGAGCCCTTGCCATGCCGGAAAAAACCAAAACTTTGACTGTGCTTCAACCTTTGAGTTACTTTAGTTGTAGTATTGGCATTTGATTGCAAAACAAACTCCTTGATACAAAAAGGGGCAATTGACAGACCTATATTAAATATTTCAATTAGCAATGAATGTGGACCATAAATAGCATTTCTTGTGAAGTTTTATGATCATCGCAGGCATAGAAATTTTACATTTTTTTTCTCAAGCAAAGAATGGCAAAACCAACCTGTGAAACATCCAGCAAAATGAAACAGCAGTTTGGGTTGAAAATTACAATGAAGTTATTAATATTGCTTAAATTATCAACTGATATGTACAATAACCTGATATATCATCATGAAAATAACAGTAAACATTCCTCATGAGTTATTCTAGTTTTGCCTCTCTTGAGTTTGCTGGTCACAACTTCTTTGGATTTCTTTCCGAAGAGCCTTGCTTTTAGCTTGCTTTGCTTTAATTTTGAAGTCTTGTATAATATCCTTGGCTAAAGAGAATGAGCGAACCCTGATGTACAAATTTACAATACTGTACAGAACATCTTTACTGACATTTTTAGTGGGAACTTGTTCAGCATTTGAGACCATGGTTTGGTAGTTTGCAACCACATCATTATCTGTTAATGACTTCTGAGCTATCCCAGTTATGTCCACAATTTGCATACTACTAGCAGATTTTAAAGTTGACTGTCTGAAATAATGTTCAGACCTGGTAAAGATCTTTTGCGCAGGCTCTGTTATGGACCAGAGACCACCGCGGCTCAGTGTGGAAACCAGCTTTTGGGAATCACAGCCCTCCTCCAATTTTCCAGCCTTGAGTATAGCCATTGCCTGCTGACTTTCACTTGAAGACATTTTTGCACACTTTTTGTGAAGATTGTGCAATACGTATCCTCCCAAATACTGCAACCCGGCTGTCTCTTTGTCTGATAAGACTGTTTTAGATGGAAGGACGCTGTTGTCAGGAGATGACTTTGCATGCTTGCCATGTGCTACCATGTTGTCGGCCACTTTAATTGCTAGCAATGTAGCTGCATTTCTGGATAACCCTCTGAAAAAGGTTGTAGATTTCAATGGAACCTGAGAATAATATTTTCCAAAAAACTTTTCAGTGTCTCCATTTTTCAAGTATCCATCATACAGTGTTTTAAACACACAAAATCCCTCAGTTTCATTGGGCTGTTTATATTCATAGTGCTTAAATTCCTTCCGCAAGTCAACACTGAATACTTTGTTTTCTTTAACTTTTTGCAAGGCATCATTCACAATTTCAGCAAGAATGCTCAGTGTCAGAGACACTGGTTGGGGCTGATCACTGTGTTTGGCATTTCTGTGTCTTCGGTATCCTCCACTGGACTTGTATTTTTTACCACAGTCACTACATATAATTTCCGTCAATTGAACCTACAATGGCACGGGAAAACAATAAATAAGGATAGGCTACTGTAAAATGTTTAGATAAAACAGCATTGCCTGATGTGAAATATCACGAGTTCGTTTGGATATTAAGACATTCATTACAAACAACGCTGTAATAACTAAGCTTCGCAACAGCTGTTCATAGACATAGGCTAGCATGAGTTCTTTTAGTCTCTTCCATTGCTAGAACATTTATTTCGAAAGAATCCATGTCAATAGAATTATTAATACGGATAAACAAGACACAAACTCACGAGCGTCCTCACGAGCAACTTATAGGATAAGATTTTACTATGATGCAGCTGAAAAAGCAGATATTTTTGTAATTCCATACTCAGATCGCTTACTAAGCTTTCAAACTGTCCATCTAAGTCTTCGTCTTCTTCCAGGATATCCATGATAGCATCGAAGTCTTCTCCAAAGACATTAAGATCGCTCCTTCGGCCTGCCATCTTGTTTTGCTGTGTGCAGGGTCAGTGTCACGTGACAGGTCGGTTCAACATCTGAGAGGCCGCTATTGTTTTAGCCTTTGAAGTTTACCGAGTTTCCTAACCAGTCCCCCCTCTACTAACTATGTTGTCGTGTCACCTTCCTTCTCCTTTGACGCCATCTTGAAACACGTCCCCTAAACCTGCCCCAGCATGCTTTACACCTACCAACTCGACCCACTCCCCCGCTCAACGTAAAAATGGCGAATATGTACAGCATCACATGGAGGAAATTTGCAAATACAAATTGGTAGGACGGTCCAGAATCTCTCTACAAGCCAGAGTAACACTGGCCCACAAGTGAACCAACACATTCTGAAGGTGAAGTGGCAACCCAAGAAGCTATAAACCATCAAGTCAGAATCACTCGCTCATTGGTTAACTGTTTGGTTAAGGATCCAATGGAACCAAAGATTGATGAATTAATTGACATCAATCAATTCAGCAGATTGATGAAATTACTTTGAGTGACCGCCTTTGTTGTCAAATTTGTAAAAAAGCTTAAAAACAGGGCTCAAAACAAGTTGAAATCCAAGAGTGGAATTTCAATTCTGAATGCTGTGAGTTAAACGAAGGCTGAGGAACTTTGGATAAAGGCTGTTCAAACATGTTCTTTTGAACAAGAAATCAAGTTTCTCCTGGATAACTGTCAAACTGAAGCTGCGCCTCCAACCTACGTCTCACAATTCCAATTATTTCTTGAAGATGGAGTTGTCAAATGCAAGGGGGAGGGTAAATAATGCCTATTTACCAGGAGCTCAAGAAATCCAATTCTGTTGCCAGTGAAACATGATTTCATTTGATCAATTATCAAGAATGCACACATGTCCATGAAACACTGCGGAATATGGGACATGCTTATAGAGAAATTTTGGATTTGAAAGGTTCCAAAGCTGTAAAACAAATTATCAAGAAATGTGTAATTTGTTTCAAACTCGATAGAACCCTGTACAAGTCTCATTCACCTCCTGATCTCCCTAGTGAACTAGTGTCTGACGATCCTTCTTCACGCTTGCGGAAATAGACTTTGTCAGACCACTGAATGTTGGCAGTGGAAATCTGGACAAGGACAAGTCCAAGTCCAGCAAAGTGTACATATGTTTGTTTCCTTGTGCTTTGACCAGGGCTGTTCACTTAGAATTATGCAGAAGCCTCAATGCTCAAGATTTTCTGCTGGCATTCAGACGATTTGCTGGTTGACGAGGACTCCCCACCACAATTACATCAGATAACGCAAGAACCTTCAAATCTTCGAGCAAGGAGATAAGAAGAATCAGGAGATTGAACAAAGTCTTGCACTACCTTGTTAACCAAAGAATTTCATGAACTTTTTCACTGAAAGAGCTCCATGGTGGGGAGGGTTTTTGGAGGGGCTAGTCAAAGGTATCAAGACACCTCTAAAGAAGGTACTTGATTGATCAACCTTGTGTTTTGAAGAGTTACAAACAGTGCTGGTAGAGGTAAATGGAATTGTTTTGAAAAGCTTTCGGAGAGAGAAGGGGAGTCGAGCCAGTTCTGGTCAGGTCGGTTCTGGTCAAAAAGTGCAGTAGGGCTTGCAGAAGAAATCTACATTGGAGCCAACCCTGTTGTTGTTAGTCATTGTCTCAAGGATAGTCAACAGCTGTAATAGATTCCGGTCCTTCCCGCAGTCAGAGAGTGCCCCCAGGAAAGCCTTTAACCAGAAGGAGTTTATAGCGTTGTCCCCGTCCGTAATAATATTAAGGACTCTGAACAGAAAGTTAAGAAATGGTTGAAAACAGTGAGCCCTAAGGGGGAGGAAACGGATGAAGAGAAACACAATGACATTTCTGAACATTTACTTGGCAAAGAGATAATGGTGGATTTCTCAGTCTGTCCTTTCAAAGTCAGCGATGATGACTTCGCTCCCTAAACTTAACTTACCAGTATTTGATGGAGATTCTTGTGCGTGGCCAAACTGGTATGGCATGTTTAAGGCTTTAGTGCATGATCAACGGCTTTCCAATACACAGAAAATGATCTATCTCAAAGCATCAGTTAAAGGAACTGCTGAAAAAGCTACAGCTGGGATGTTTTTTGATGTACAACGTAAGAAAAGGCCATTGCAGAGTTAACTCAACGATTTGGAAACCCCGCCCTTATTTCAAAGTCTCTGATCAATAAGTTTCTGGCGATACCAGCAGTTCAGGATGACAACACGTACAGCTTGAGATTGTTTGTTGACAACTTGCACACCATTATGAGAACACTGAAGACATATGGCCATGAAGCAGATTTACCAGCAGCAGCTAATATGCAGCAGATTGTTACAAAGTTGCCTCCGAAAATTGCTGTTAGGTGGAGCAGGCAAAAGCTAGAGCTGCAGCCAAAGGAAGTTGACCTTCACGATCTTGATGAGTGGCTGGGAACAGAGGTTTAAATCCAGGAGATGGCTTTTGGTGTGGCCAGTACTAAGGAGAATTCTGCACAAAAGAGACCCAAGGCAAATTCAAACAAACTCAAGTGGAATATATTAAAGTTCACACGGTAACCAGGTGGACAATCAGACATAGTTTGAAGCTACACTGGTTTGCAGATTTAATGAATGTAACCGAAGAAGTTACAATTCATAGACCCAACGTTTCGACACTCCTGTCTAGTGCCTTCATCAGGGGTGATCTAAACGCTGCAACAAGAGGTCCTTTTATATGATCACTAATTAGCGGCCTTTTTTCTGACGAGGTGTAAATAGGCGTCAGGAAGCAGAACGCCATCGTCACGATTTAAAGGAGCGTGGGCGGAGTTAATGTGTCAAGCCTCCAAACAAAGGCGCTGGTGGTAACGCCGATTAGTGGTGATAATTTTAGAATTATCCCACCCAATTGTATGGTTGGTTAGGCAAGTATGCTCCGATAAAGCTGAATTTTCCTTTTTGCAAAGAAAAACCGCTTTTTGGTGCTCTTTTAACCGTGTACCAAACTGGCGTTTGGTCTGTCCAATGTATTCGTTGTCACAGTCATTGCAAGGAATAGAATAAATGGCGTTGGTTCGTTGTTCTTTCATGACAGGATCCTTAGGTTTGGCAAAAATATGCCCCAAAGTCTGAAAAGGTTTTTGAGCAACTTTAACGTTGTGGCTATTCAAAATTCTCTTGATGGGTTCAGTAACACCCTGTATGTAAGGAATAACAGCAAAACCAGTCCCTGGTTCCCTTTCATCAAGAGCGTTACTATTTGTAACTGGTTTTTGGCAGTTTCGGAGAAAAGTTTTTGTATAGTCATTTGCCTTTAGGACATTGGAAACATATTTCCTCTCCTCAGCCTTTGAATCGATTGATGATGGTAGACAATCAGCCCTCCTAAGTAAAGTTTTGGCTACAGACTTCTTATGGCAAATAGGATGGTGAGAATCGAAAGTGAGGTATTTGTCGGTGTGGGTGGGTTTACGGTAGATACTTGTCTCTAAATTACCCTGAACCCCTCTGAACACATTTAAATCAAGAAAGGGCAAATGTCTATCCTTTTCACGTTCAAGGGTGAATTGGATAGACGGCTCTACTGAATTCAAATGTGACAAGAGGTGCTCCGCTTCATTTCCGGATACCGCAGAAATAACATCATCGACATATGGTTTCCAGAAAAAGGGTTTAACCGGTGAAGTGGCTAAGGCCCTTTGTTCCACGTCTTCCATTACCATGTTAGCAATGACAGCAGAAACAGGCGAACCCATAGCTGTACCAAAAACTTGTTGATAGTATGTGCCATGTGCCGTTATATGTAAATTGCGTGGTTTTGAGGCAAAAAGACAGCAGATGAATAATATCCTCCACAGGCAAAGAAGTTCTTTGTCCTAGGGAAGCATCTTCTCTGAGTCTTTCCTCCGCAACTTTAACGGCAAGATCAACTGGGATTTTAGTGAAGAGCGAAACAACGTCGAAAGATACTAATTCTTCACAAGCGTCAAGAGTTTTATCTCTTATGAAATCCGTAAATTCGCAGGAATTTTTGACAGTGTAATCAGTATTCCCAACAACAGGCGACAAAATTCTCGCAAGATAACCAGAAATTGCATAAGTCGGAGAATTAACAAAAGAGATAATGGGTCTCAGAGGAATTCCCAGTTTATGAATTTTAGGTAAGCCATAAAAACGTGGACATAAGCCGTCACTACTGTATAACATTTTGTACGTAGAGTCACTAATTCAGCCAGCTTTTTTCATATCAAGCAACATTTTGTTTAACTTTCTTTGAGTTTTACTGGTAGGATCAGAGTTTAAGACAGCATACGTACTCTTGTCATTGAGCAGGGACAAAGCTTTGTCGTGATATTGCTGTTTGTCCATAACCACAACACAATTACCCTTGTCAGCAGATAATACGAGCCTGTTCGGATCCTTTTTGAGAGTTATAAGTGCATTGAAAACATCCTTTTGAATGTTTTTGGGAGGAGGTTTAGCACGCCTGAGTATGCTACTTACTTCTGCTCTTACCAAATGCCTACGATCGTCGTTGAGTTGAGAGATACTCTCCTCAACAGCGGCGACAATTTCGGCGGTCGGTATTTGGTCGGTCCCTTCTCTAACCCTTTCACTGCCATGGGCGACTTTAGTCGCCTTACCTATAGACCGCCATGGGCGACTTTAGTCGCCCAAACAATAGCATTAAAATGAACGAATCATAGTCCCTGTTCTAACTAACCAATGAAATAGCTTCTTAGATCAGGTTAATCAAAACACGTGCTGGTTTCATTTTCGACACGAAACGAAGCAAATTTAGCTCATATTTGACTCGAGAAATCCATATTTTTTATTTGTTTACAACTTTGGGCATTTAAATATGGCGTCTAATCGAAGGTTTACTGTTGAAGAGGCTTTGGATACTATTTTTGGCGACAGTGACTCTGAAATGGAAGAAGAAGCAAGTGGTTCAGAAAGCGAAAGCGCCAGTGACACTGAAATCAACATGGAATCGGCTTCCGAAGGTGAAATGGAGAATAGCATTGATGAT